TTTTGCGTTAGTTGCTTTTAGTTTGCGGCGTAACAAGCTAAGGGTATTGCTTGTAACGCATTTTCTAGAAAGCACGTGGAACGAAATTGCATGGAAGCCACAGTACACCGCAGGTGAACAGTGGCTTCAGGTGGACTTGAACCAAGTTAAGAAGATCAAGGCAATAGCTACACAAGGTCTATCACATGATGGCACGTCATCATACTGCCAGTCATACACTGTGAGCTACAGCAAGAGTGGGGCTATATGGCAAGAGTACAAAGAAAATGACGCAATCAAGGTAAGAAAAGTAACTAGGTCCGCAATTCGTATTCAGCAAGAGCTAACATTGTGCATAGGTTTTGTCTGAAGTGTTTTATGCTTTACAAATTTAGCATATCTAGTGTGCAATGTTTGCCTGCAAATAAATAGTAACAAATGAAACCACTGATACCGCTTAAGCTATGTTTAGTTAAAAGTTCGTGTTACAAGTTGTCATTGTCCATTATAAGAATTCCGCATGGGCTGGGTCTATTGCTCTTGTAAACTGAGTTACAATTAGCACGCTGTACATTCTCACTCAGCGTTCTTTTCCTTCGTTGCCATGAGTCACTGAATTCGATGCTGATTTATTGATTGATTATTATCAATAAGTCTACTAGGTCGAGAGAAGATTTCTAACTGAAATCACCATCGAATTTAGCGTTCATATCAGCGTTCCGTTATATCTTCTTATTGTTGCCCCTTGCCCCGTTTAATGATCTCATTAGCTCTCGTGCTGTCTTCTGTTTGTTTGGACAACCATTTTTAATGACGTTTGTCTCCTTTCTTGTCTTTACACAGATGTTTACAGGAAACGCAGACGCCACCAGTGTAGTAAAACACTCCATCGCTACATCTTTCGACGCTCGATTTGTTCGCTTTTACGTCAAGTCTTGGTATAATGAGCCGGCGCTTAAAGTAGAGGTTTATGGCAACCCTACCGGTTAGTGAACGATCGCGGCTACCATCTAGAATGTAAATCTGTCAGATACAGTTAAGTCCGCAAGAAACGTCACAGCTACCGTAATGATTCTATTAAGCGCCTCCTTTTCTAATAAGCGCTCTCCATTGAGTGTCGTCTTTTAAGTAAGCGCTCTTATTTCAGTGAACACTTCCTTCCAATAATCTCCATAGTGAATAACATTCATGACGTTGACAAAGAATAGACTGATTAGACGAGTGGATTATGAAGTCTGCTCTCTTATCTGAACGTAACACCGAACATATTGATTCGCCCAGATCAAGAGCATGGTGTTATTTCCATGACTATGGGCAACTTTTGTTCACGGTTCATTGACGTGTCGTTTCGCATTCCGGCCGACGCTTATGCCAAAAAAAGAGCGCCAGATCCAAACGTAAACGTCAGCTCTTGAGCTACAAAGGCAAAAATAAATTAGTGCCGGGGATGCTAAATTGATTGATTACGGCAGGTAAATGAGATTAGTGTCCTTGTCTTTTAAACATTGCCTTCCCGTTGTTACTCTCTTAAATTGCAGCTACGAATTACATTGGTTGTTTCTCGGGAGGCACGTTCGACCCGTGTGGAGACTATGCTTCAGATTCTTTGACCCCCGAGATCTGCACGACCTGTTGTGGCCGCGCTGGTTACCAGTACTCCGCCCTGAAGAAAGGTGAGCAGTGTTGGTGTTCTGACGCGGTAGCCGTGAACAGCGAAGTCGGAGACCCATGGTGCGACGAACCATGCACAGGAAACATAGTGCTACGTTGTGGCGGACTAGAAGCTTACAGCGTATACGCAGCTTTGGGAACGTATAATTTTTCTTTCGAATTAACTATGCCAACGAACATTTCCGTGTATGAGAGATTAACTGCCGAGATTTCCAGCTACCCAGGCGCTTTAAACACGCTCGACTTTGGCGAGGACGCTGTATTCACCACAGGGAACACGTCGGTGTCGTATCTTTATCACTCAGACGGACAACATATTGTGTATGGTCATGCCTTGTTAGGAGAATACGGTGAAGCGCAAGTGAAGTCAGCTTTATTGGCTGTGAGTTGCTCAGCCTGTTGTTTTGAAAACACGTCTAGAATGCAATGATTGTTCACATTTCCATTTTTGTTTCAAATTAGTGGTTTTCTATCCTCTCTTTTCTATTCTCTCCTCTCTTCTCTTTTCTTCTCGTTTTTCTGTTTTCTTCTTTTCTTTAAGGTTAGTTTTACCAGAAACTTCTGGTATAACCCAGTAGCTTAAAGAGTTTCGATAAATGTTCAGTTCCATACTAACCAAGGGGTGATAATGACCGTGTAAACTGAGAAAAGAAGGCATGTCTCATGCTGTCAAACGCAGAAGAGAATAACTGGCTGAACTTAAAGCACTTTTTAATCGTGAGTATTGGATATTGACGATAGAAAAACGAATGCAAAAGTACATTGGCGCTAGGGAGAAACACTAGATCACTAGTTAATTATTGATTTTTAAATCAAAATGCTTCTTGTAAATCAGGTGGATGTATATTCTCCTGTGGAGCATTTTGAGCTTAATTGTCCACCAGCCGTGGAAGCAAATCAAGAATTCTGCTGTCCTGTCTCGGTGTACCAAGGATCGAACATGTACCTGGAAGCGAAATTCACCGGTGGCAGTGAGATGTCGACACCTCTGGACGGTAAGATGATATGCCTTACTGTTGCGCCGTTTTCAAACTTAACTCAAGGCAGGCGGTACCTAAGCGATAGCTTCCCGCTAACTAGTCACGTCACGGGTTCAAGACGTAACAAACTGTCTGAACTTTGACCTGGTGATTACGAGATCTTTGATTACATGTCTCAGACGGCAGCCTAAGCACTGCACTCTAATAAAAAGATCAAGTGCTCCTGTAGTCACTTGCGCACAACCTTATGAGCAGTATTTGCTACCGAATCTGGGCTCATTTTCTTGTGTTGTCAAGGTCATTCCCCAGTATTGTATTGCGCATCCCTACTGCGCATAATTTCACGCGTTATTAGGGCGCGCGCATTAGAAAATGGCGGCTTTTTCTTTACGGCTGGACCTCGCCATAGAGGTAAATCGTCATTTTCTCGCAAACGAGTATGGTGACCTATCA